GGACATTGGACCCCCCGTCAGGGAAATCCTGGCGTTGCCACTGTATAGGCTACTACATTATTTCTTAATTCAAACGATTATGTACCAAGACTAAAATTCATTTGTGTTAGGACCGAAAGTGAACGAATGTGTGATGAGTGATTCTATGATTCTATTATTTTACCGTTTTGATATTCTTTAACTACAATGTATCATTCTTTGTGATTTCAAACTGATCAATGAGTTCATTATAGTTAATAGCTTCAACATTATATAGTTTTCTAGAATCATAAACATATTTTGTTTTGTGAGTATTGAGTAAATGTGCCACGCAGGTGAACCAAATTACTGGAAAAACAAAATCTTAGAGTTTGTGACACACTTCGGATTAGTATATTACTGGTAGGTTTTTGAGATCTTGAATTTAAACAAGTTTACCTATAGAACTCATCCGTTAACTAAATGTGTAAATCACTTTTATGCCAATTTGTTGTCAATTGTTATGAGAACAGCTGTACAGCTGCACATCGTATGGTTAAAAATTTTCTTTGATGCTACTGTTCCCAGCTTCGGTCTAAATATTAGTATGCTATAGTAATTTTCTTATTTTGAAAATTTGTTTCTGTTTTAATTGGCTGACTGTATAAAGATAGTATAATACATACTTGGCGAGTCAAATGGCCGAGCGGTTAGCAGGGGCGCCGCAAGCTATAGCCATAATATCGGCGCTAGTTCAAACGGCATGCTCGCCTATGGTTCTGGTGGTTGAATAAGTCTTCTCGGATAAGGACTATAAACCGTAGGCCCTGTGTATACAATGGCTCGTGTACACTATATAAAGAACCCAGATCCTTCGAGACGAGTAGGGGGATACCCCGGTGTACTGAAACAGACCCCTGTGGTAGACGACGAGAGTTGCTGGTACCGGGTTACCGGGTAGCACAGACACGAAGGGACCCTTAGGGTAAAGAAAGTCATTGATCGAGTTCCTAGTCCACATATCAAGCGCCCTGAACATCTTACATTAGATGGATATGTGCGCTATACGGTATATAAAACCACACTATTATTATTATTATTATTATTATTACTCCAAGTATCGAAATGCACGCCATCGTGTCGTGATTCAATTTCGACATTACTTATGTCAGTCATTCTTGATGAAGGTATAATTATTGTTGAAATATTGAATCACGACACGATGGCGTGCATTTCGATATTTAGAGTATGTACTGTAATATCTTATCTGAGATTAATCAGTGGTCCTTTCAGTTACTGTGTATTAACTGTTCTATTTATCTAACCTCATTCGTTTAAGTGCTTGCATTTCGTCTTCAGTTTGGTTTGGTAGTTTAGATTTCATGAAAGCTACGTAGCCAATAACCGCCAATTGTACGAGGACAATCTATGAAATGTTCAGTTTGTTAGTATAAAAAGAAAAGGTAATCGAATACACCACTATATGAGCACAATCTGACAAGCTATTATATACATTTTTCAAAGTTACTATTATATAAAACATATAAGAATGAATTTTTTTGTCCCAAAAAACAAGCAATTATACACAGACAATTAACTATTAAAAAAAAATGTTTTTTCTTCTCATTATTTTACACAAAAATGGCAAATGCTGTATTTTTGTAAGGACTTCCAACGAGGAGCATGTAAAATAGAAGAAAAATACTGATACTTTAGAGGCCAAACATCATCAAGCATAGTGGCTTTTGAGACCATGCACTTCTATCGGTTCCTACTTCCACCCAGTTGACGTTTAATCAATATCTGTGTTCTTAAATAACACAAAAATAAGGACTTTACCAGACTAGTGAGGCACACGGGAACAATAAAAGTCCTGTCTCTTATACACATCTAAGTATTAAAAGTTGGTTTATATATATAGAACAAACATGTTATTAAAATATATTATACCAAGATGTAATAAATTAGTACATTTAATTTATAAGGTAACAATATAGGCCAACAATTGGTTTAAACATAAAGGTGTTGTGTCACCTCACCAACAACAACGTATTAATAATATAAATTTAGTTTAGTCACCAAAGT